ATTGTTAATATTGGCAGTGTTGGACTCATACTTAAAGCAAATAAAGTGAATACAGTAGAAACAAAATCAAAAAAATTCATATCGTCCTTTGCTGAAATTAAGAAAAACTGAATACTGGGAAACTTTCGCCCAGTCAAATTATCACTCTTCTTCGTAGGAATCATAATTTGCCTTATGCTATTTTCGTTCTACATTTTTAATTCCTATTATACATGATATTGTTTACTAATACTGAAATCGCTCTCAATACCGGGGTTGCAGAAGAGGAAAGTTAGTCTAAAGTGAATATTTTCCGGTTATTATTAGATACAACTAAGGGGTAGTAACGAATTCATAATGTAAGCTATAACGAACATTCATTATGATTTCTCACGAACTCAACGGCACGAATAGTTATCATTTCTGTTTTTCGTTCTAATAGGAAATGAAGCAAAATGAGAATAACCAGTTAAAAGGACGCAATGGTATTGACATGAATTCATCCAATCAATAAACTATCAGGTACTACATGTATGAATGCTATAGTTAAGTGCGTAATAGTTTGTGACAGATCAATTCAAATCACTATAGAACGTATACATGTTTTGTGTTCCGATAAAAAAAAATGCGTAGTGTATGTTACAGTGTCATTTCTTTTTATAAATAAAGTCAGTTTAATCATGATATGTACCTTTCAGCCTCTAAGCGTTAATTAATAGCTATATCATTCATTTAGGTAGTTTATCATTTTATACAGCTTTTATTTAGAGACAATCACACATCACGTAATTATTAGATGTGTCACAAGTGTCAAAACACCAATTGTGACATCACGCGTTAAAATGAGATTCGTGATCAAAAAGCTAATATTCTGATTGATTGTTACGTCATTTGTTTGTGAGAGTAACGTCATATATTTTGGAGAAAACGACGTAATTTTCACATACAAACCAATGACGTAACAATCAATACCTGCTCTCAAGAAGAAGATAACTCTGCAATACGAAAAGACGGAATATATCACATAGCCCATATCATCTATTCGTTATTTCTTTTAATATTTTAACCCCCTTTTTTATTTTAATTATTTACATATACAATGCGAATGCTTTTAAAATGTACCTTTTTTATCTGATTTTATCTTCGTTACTCACATGTTTGTTAAAAAAATCAAAGAAAAATCACAATGGCCCTAAATGACCACAGCCGTCGATGGGCCGTTAAACGTAAACAAACAATCAATACTTAACTTTTGCATAGTTCTGTCAAATGAAACTTTCACATCTACATTTTTCCAACCTTTCAAAGTTTTTATACTTAGTTCATTATTGAGATTTTTGGCAGAATTGTTGCACTTTGTTGTTTTCGCAGATTCTGACCATGTTGCTGTTAATATTTTCAATGATCTAAATCAAATGTTTTCTATTTCTTCTGACAACCGAACAGTAAAGTACATGATTCAACAAAAAATGTTTAATCCCCTGCTGACAAGGAGACACTTTGCGCCTAAAGCGTTAATGATGGGTCAGTGATAGGTCACTTATTCTGTAACTAGGTCAGCAAACACTTAAAGATAACTCTGTAATACGCAAAGACGGAATATTGCATTTTACACACTTTTGTCATAAAATTTGTTATTTGTATATTTTGTTTATATTATTGTGACAAAAAAAGTCTTTTTTCTTCATACAAAACATAATTATATTTTATCAGGTCGTTTGGTATGCTTAGTCTAATTTCAAGTCGTTACGGCTAATTTAATTGGTTATATATTTACTGTTATACATCACCTGTGAAGTCACACGACAAAAAGGAGATAAGCAATTAAAAGTCTAAGCTACTGCGATGTTCATGCTTTGTGACATAATATGTTATTCATGTAAAATGTTTCTGTTTAAGTTGATTTCATACAAAATGTATATTTTATCAGTTCTTTAAAGATCCTAAGATTTATTTCAAATTGTCAGGGTCAATTGATTTGTGTATGTATGCCTGACATGCTCTGTTTGATGATATCATGAATACAGGTCACGATATGTCTTTTAAGATCAGAATGATCAGTCAAAAAGAAATCTGGACGACGCAAAAGGGTAAAAGGTGAAACATACTCGGTGTCTATTAAAACGAATCACCTGGTGACGTCACTACATAAGTTTTATCACTATCGTTGTATTCGAGCTTCACTTAACATTCATAACAACGCTTCTTATTTCAAGGGTTTTGTTTCCGATACGCATATCGTGTTTGAAATGTTTAAATATGTGATCATAATGATAATAATCTGTAAACGCCGCCTTTCGGTAAATACGAGTACAACAATTTAATATTTTTGAAGTACATCACGAGAATCGCTCGGCAGCATAACGGTAAAATCGCCCGGCTTTGAAATCGGCTTTCACTCCTTCGTTATCATCAAAGGGGCAGGTACCAGCCTATCAATTTATTTCAGTGTTTTTATCGCTTACTGGCACCTTCATTACTTATATACTTGTAATAGCGATACTTTAGTCAAAATAAGAGGAAACATATTCCGTTCTATTTTTAAGTCCAAACCAACATAAAATGAAAGGAATGTTCACAAATTTTAATATGAAATTGTTAACACCATTTTTACATTCAAGCGTTGATACAGCATGTCGTTTCTTTTTTTGTAAACTTTGTCTTGACATACAGTTCGTTATCCGTTTTTAGGAAATCTTTGAAACCTTCTCGTTCAAAACCGCATTTAGATTCTTTACTAATTACTCTTGTGCTCAGTAACATCCTTATTGCTGTTACATTTTCTTCCTCGTCGAATGTATTAATTTCAATATCATTTAATGAAGAGCGAATTAGAACTGTTTTGTTATGGATTGATAGAGCGTCATAGGAACTGAGTAGTATAAGAATTGAAGTATACGTATTGTAACTTGTCAAAAAATATATTAATTGTTAAGTTTTTTTGCATAAATGTATACATGTTCTACTATATATATTACATATACCATACTCGCTCTATTTACATCGAAATTTTATGTTTAAAAACAACAACATTTTATCTTCATTTTTTAATTATAAGCATGGAACATATCAATAATTTATTCAAGTTTCAAGTTTTATTCGAACTTTAGGCCATTGGCCTATCAGTATACAATACTTGTTATACACAAATCATGGACAAGGTACAGAGAATGAAGACAATCATATTCCATTATAATACCCTTAATTTGTTTGCCTAATGGATGAATTTTCCTAGAATACACAATTTTTTAATATTATGGACACTCAATAACTGAACGGCTTTAAACACAGATGTGTTTTTTCCAAAAATAGCTTTTGATTAAACGTGGTCTGAGATTTTTGAATTTAGAACAGACTAATAAATAATGAAATTCGTCCTCTACTTCAGAGGGGAAGTTACACTGTTTACAATATCTACGTTCTCTAGGTATATTATTATACCTTCCAACTTCTACAGCCAAAGAATGTGCAGATGTACGGATTCGAGTTAAACAAATGCGATATTTCATTGGTATGTGTTTTGTGAGGTAAATTTGTAATTATTCTCCGAAATCAATGATACTTTTATACAATAAACATTTCTGGGTAGTTTTCCACTGAGGCCCTTAAGGATTGTATGCCCTGATCATTTTTTTTTTAGTTTTATCAATGGTAATAACACATTGTGCTGAGAAATACATGGATCTAACCAAACATCACTAAGACCTAGATTATTCAATTCATCTCTTACTGCTTTAGGTCCAAACATCATTAAGACCTAGATTATTCAATTCATCTCTTACTGCTTTAGCCCAGTTGAAATCATTTTTACAACAACATTTTAATTAAAAATCTATAGGAAGTGGATATGATACAATTTTCAGATGTTAAGATCTTAAACCAATATTTCATCATTCTATTTTTTCTCATCCAAACTAGAGGTAATCGTCCCAATTCAAGATATACCATGTTGTTATTGGCCGATTTCTTCACTATTCATGTATACAATATATATAATCTTAAACTTGCTGGGTTTTTTATTTTAAGTATTTGTAATGCAAAACAATTTCGAGGAATTCCTGAAACATTGGCATCGATTGTCTGCTACTTACATTATAACTTGAAATTTTGAATTAAATGCAAAATCTCGTATGCTTTTACTTAAATATAATAATATGTTGTCATTAAGTAAAATGTTAAGGTAAATATATCTTTCAAAGCAAGTTATTGTCAGAAACACAACAGTCCCTTTATATTTCGTATAAAAGCATATGAGCATATCGGAGGTTTGGTCCAAAATGTAATCAAAAACGGGGAAAAAAGGCTATATGACAAGAGCAATGCATTGCTTGATCTATCTGGAATATCTAAACCCACATAATTTAATGGCGAATACTGATAAGTACTACTTTAAGGATCGCTACTTACCAAACAGGCACAAGATCAGGATACAATATGTACTTTGCAGCATGATTATCTCTGTCTGAAGGAGACTAGCGCAGGGAAATTATACGGAGACGGCGTGACCCGGAAAAACTGAGCCAGTTTGTGTGACCGAGGCTTATATAGGCCTCCCAGGTAGGCTTGTCCTGGTGATAGTGTCGTCACACCAGGAACAAACCGTTAAATCAAACATTTATATTCAAATCAGTTTACAATCGTGTAAGCCTCCTTCTGTCTCCGTGTAATACTTACCGCAGCGTGTTCATGTGGTTATTATTAAATATTAATTTTAGTCTTCATTAAAATAAATCACGTCGTACTTGATTTTTTTTTAAATTTTATTATTTTGTTATGAAACAAATCGGTGTATAATATAATTTGACTCTTATTGATTTTCTCTATAAGATATTTATTTCATTTTCTTTTTTTACCTAATTGGCACTATTATTACAATATATCATGCATATTGACAATAATATTCGAAAACTGCCCAATCAATATCATAACAATCTGGGCCAATATGGGATATACTGGGCCAATATCGACGAACTTGGGCAATACGGGATAAATTGGGCCAATAACGATAACGTGCCAATCGAACATACGTCATATTAGTCGCAACATTTCTGAACTTTTCGGCGATTACAGGATTTAGCGGTTAAAGAAGCTCCCGTAGATGGTTTAAGAAATAAAATAACGAACATTGCGTAATTTATATTTGAAAAATACCCGAATAATATAAAATGAAAATAAAATGTTTGTTTCGGATTTTGAAAATGCAATTGGGCTAACTAAGGATTCGAACCCTTGACCTTCTATCATTATACACTGACTCTAACCAGCTGAGCTAGAACGTGTACCTGGGCCCTGTTCGTTTCACAAACTAACAGACCTGGTACAACCGGTTCAACCGTTTGATTTGTGATAACCGAAAGCGACCCAGGTCATCAACGGTACTTCATCCAGAGCAAAATCAAAGGGAGGTTACTCTATGCACGAACAGCAACAACGGGTTTATCTTGTTTTACCTGTAATGGGAAAGGGATCCTTAAATATGTATATGTAGGCGTGTCAGTAACAGCTTGTGTCTTAACCTGTGAAATAGATTACAGGTGATTTATCAGGAAAAAAATATTCTATGACGCAATACATTGTCATTTGGTACAAATATATTCAAAAGTTGTTAAAATAAATATTGTAAACAACCATTCCTGAGCATATGCTGTCAAAATATCAACATAATGAATCAATCATTGTATTTTTTAAGTAGTCAGGTGTTATTTATTGAGCTGTTTTCTTAAATGAAGAATTACATTTTGCGAATGATTTTTGCAAGAAAGATACAATTTTGAAATGATTATACTGTTTACTTCATCAATAGGTAAACACAAATGTTATCATACGGTACATATATGAACGTCAACAATTAGTGCACAACAACGACACCAATCGGTGCACATAACCGTCATAAATCAGTGCACACAAACGTCATCAATAAATACACATAATTGTCATCAATCAGTTAACATAAAGGTAATCAATCAGTGCACACATAAACGTCATCAATCAGTGCACATAATTGTCATAAATCAGTGTACATAAACGTCATCAATCAGCGCACACATAAACGTCATCAATCATTACATTCAAACGGTATCATACCGGAAAATGTGTCTTTCAATAAATGTCAATAATACTACGATTAATTCTAAATTTAAAACTGATCCAGTCTCTGAATTACGGAAGTTCTTATTAAACAATATCGGTTTTGACGTACGAACATGCTACGCCCATTAAATAATTATCAATTACGCTCTTAATGAGGAAACTTAACATACATTAAATTTATACATGTTGTCATAACGATAATGGATTCGTGTCTATCAATATTCATACATATTTTCTAGACATAAAATACAACGTGACCTTTAACAGTAAGATGTTAATAGCATTGTCGCCAAAGTACATGTATCTGGTATACTATCATGTTTTTACCCCTGGCTACAATTCAATCGGAATTCATTTTTACTCGATATACATTTTCTTAATATTTACATGGTTCTATTATCATTATCAATTATTTACTTTTCATTGCTTGTGTTGTTCTACCTTTTTTCTGATATTTTGATTATTATTTTTATTTTGTGTTTGTTTATCTATTTACTTATAGATTATGTTTTCACTTATTTGACATTTTATTACGTTATGTTGACCCCGTGTGATATGAAGTATATACCATAGCACATAACAGTATGACAGGTATGTATGTGTGCATATACATGTAACGTATATATATGTGGATTAAAAATTAAAATTTAACTTTTCATTGCTTTTGTTACTATTACTGTTATGTGTATCTGTTTGTTAATTTCATTTTATGTTTGTTTATCTATTTATTTGTTTGATATTTTGTCCTTTTTTGTTTACCCTATGTGGTATGATGTATATACCATAGTACACATCTATAAACATAACAGATATGTGTGTATAAAACATACATATTTATATATGGATTAAAACATATCATACATTCTTCGATAGGAATAAATACAAAGTGCTACGGCACTATTTCGGTCATACATAACAGTTCTTTCCCTTTTTTAAATGAACAAAGATAACGCAATAATGTCAAAACATAAACATGTGTATGTGCTACTTATCAAATAAACAGTGTCGTTTATAAAAGGCACGTGCTTTATCATACGTGTACAAATAAAAGAGGAGGAAATCAAACCGCAAAGCGAGAAAAAACATCAGCATGAACTGGAAAACATTTGATTGATAATGAGAAATGCTGAGGAGGTATAGAAAAATAAAAAAACACGTTATTCAGGTAGTGAAGATTGATGAAGATTTATGTAAATGTTAAAAGGGAATATTATTGACCATCAGTTAAAAGATGATATTTAAAATTAAATTCATTGGATATAAAACTAAGTGATTTACGTGTGTTAGATATTTTTCCAAATTACGAATTGAAACGTAAGTGAAACGGATGCGTGCCTACAGTTCGTTACCAAGTTCTATCTTGGACCCAGTAACTGTTACAACAAATAATTCCGACAATATATACAAAACACTGGACGTCTATTTGAGTCACTTAATATTGCCTTATAATCCAAGTAAAATATTGTCTTAACTAAACCCAGAAGACAGTTTTTAGTTCTTACCCCAACACTTACACTTACATACTCATTTTTTTTTAAATTTTATTTTTACAAACTGGACATCAATATGTATCTCCCCTCTACCGCGACACACCTTAACAACGTCACCCTTAACCCCGACAAACCTTCACAACGTCAACCTTTGCCGCGTCACACCTTCACAAAATCAACCTTTAACGCGTCACACCTAGGCAACGTCACCCTTTACCGCGGATTCCTTTTTGTCCAAGAAACTCAATACGCCAAGGTACCTACATGTATGGCTTGGTAACCACTGAGATAATGGTAAAATGTGTGTTTTGGTATCTGTCACTCTGTATCTATGAACATCACATCGCCCTGTACTGTGATACAGGGCGACACCCTGTACGTCACCTTGTACTGTGATACCCAGTACGTAACCTTGTACTGTGATACCCAGTACGTCGCCTTGTACTGTTATACCCAGTACGTAGCCCTGTATTGTTATACCCGGAACGTCGCCTTGTACTGTGATACCCAGTACGTCGCCATGTACTGTGATACCCAGTACGTCGCCCTGTACTGTTATACCCAGTATGTCGCCCTGTACTGTGATACCCAGTACGTCCCCCTGTACTGTTAAACTCAGTACTTCCCCCTGTACTGTTATACCCAGTACGTCGCCCTGTACTGTTATACCCAGTGCATCGCCCTGTACTGTTATACCCAGTACGTCGCCCTGTATTGTTATACCCAGTACGACGCCCTGTACTGTTATACCCAGTACGTCACCTTGTACTGTTATACCCTGTACGTCACCTTGTACTGTGATACCCAGTACGTCACCTTGTACTGTGATACCCAGTACGTCACCTTGTACTGTGATACCCAGTACGTCGCCCTGTACTGTGATACCCAGTACGTCGCCTTGTACTGTGATACCCAGTACGTCGCCTTGTACTGTGATACCCAGTACGTCGCCTTGTACTGTGATACCCAGTACGTCGCCTTGTACTGTGATACCCAGTACGTCGCCTTGTACTGTGATACCCAGTACGTCGCCTTGTACTGTGATACCCAGTACGTCGCCCTGTATTGTGATACCCTGTACGTCGCCCTGTATTGTGATACCCAGTACGTCGCCTTGTACTGTGATACCCAGTACGTCGCCCTGTACTGTTAAACTCAGTACATCCCCCTGTACTGTTATACCCAGTACGTCGCCTTGTACTGTTATACCCAGTACGTCGCCCTGTACTGTTATACCCAGTACGTCGCCCTGTACTGTTATACCCAGTACGTCGCCCTGTACTGTTATACCCAGTACGTCGCCCTGTACTGTTATACCCAGTACGTCGCCCTGTACTGTTATACCCAGTACGTCGCCCTGTACTGTTATACCCAGTACGTCGCCCTGTACTGTTATACCCAGTACGTCGCCCTGTACTGTTATACCCAGTACGTCGCCCTGTACTGTTATACCCAGTACGTCGCCCTGTACTGTTATACCCAGTACGTCGCCCTGTACTGTTATACCCAGTACGTCGCCCTGTACTGTTATACCCAGTACGTCGCCCTGTACTGTTATACCCAGTACGTCGCCCTGTACTGTTATACCCAGTACGTCGCCCTGTACTGTTATACCCAGTACGTCGCCCTGTACTGTTATACCCAGTACGTCGCCCTGTACTGTTATACCCAGTACGTCGCCCTGTACTGTTATACCCAGTACGTCGCCCTGTACTGTTATACCCAGTACGTCGCCCTGTACTGTTATACCCAGTACGTCGCCCTGTACTGTTATACCCAGTACGTCGCCCTGTACTGTTATACCCAGTACGTCGCCCTGTACTGTTATACCCAGTACGTCGCCCTGTACTGTTATACCCAGTACGTCGCCCTGTACTGTTATACCCAGTACGTCGCCCTGTACTGTTATACCCAGTACGTCGCCCTGTACTGTTATACCCAGTACGTCGCCCTGTACTGTTATACCCAGTACGTCGCCCTGTAC